AAAAATATAATCTTCTACGTTGGGGTGGAATGATGTCATACACCCAGACGATGATCGCGGTGGTCGATGCAGATTCTTTTTCAATATCATTGTTTTCAGTTGTGTCATTCGGAACATCTCATGACATCCAATAATTTTCTTCGTTGAGATTTGATGGAGAATAAAAATGTTGTTTACCGAAATTCATGTCTACATCAGAATTATGAGCAAATATGGGAATGTTCTAAACATCTAAATCAATGTCTCCACCAGTACTATTTATTCACTGCAAGTCAAATGATAAAATCTCATATATTGATGGTACTGCATAGCCGGAGGTGGAGGGTACTGTATAACTAGAGGGTCTTACATAATTGAAGGGTTCCACAAATACTGATTGGACAGAATAAACAAATGTCTTTGAATATTATTGTTCATGTGGCTCTTGAAACGAAGATCTTTGTATTCTGCTAACTGAAGATGTTGGAGCATATGTTGTTGATCGTCTCGAAGTAGTGGTGGAGCATCAGAGGTTGATCTACAGGGGCCTTGTAGTCTAACATCTATTTTTTGAGACGGCCCTGCCTCAAAATCATGTCGAAATGGCTGATCAAGTGTAATATAATCAATCTGTATTGATTCTTTCACTCTGCGCATAACTTCAGAATCTCATCGTAATCTTGTTTCATGGAACTAGCATTTGCGCCACAATCCTCTCCAAACCTTTCCATGATGTCGTTGCTACGATTGAAGTAATTCAGTTGTATAATTGATAATCTTATATTATTTTTTTTGTATTATAATAAAAGAAATTACTAGTTATTATAAAAGGATGCAAATACATACCACTATTCCCTTTCTCGGTGATTGTGCATAATACATATCAGAAGATTGAGTTTGAGGCTTCGCTAAGTACAGCAATGCCAAATAGTGATACCACTGCAGATATTGAGCTAATTCTTCCCTTTCATCTTCTTGTAGTGGGTTTAATGACACAATAAACGTCTGATAATTATTTTGTATCACGATATATTTACTATAATATTACTCTAAGTCAATCCCTACTCTACCTCACCCATCGATTCTCTGAAAACCTTGTTCAATGAGTTCAATGGTTATAGACCAAATGCTTAAAAAATGTCTCATGACACAATCTGAAAGCTGCCACTCGACACAGTTCCAATTTATTAGTGGAATGTAGATAGTCTAAATATTTATATTCTCAAAACTTGTAATGTAATAACACTAAATATGGCGTCCAAATAACCTACATATGAAATTATAAAATTAGTTTTTTTAAAACATATTTAAGACAAAAATATGGGATAAAATAAAAAATGAGTATTATACTCGATTATATCTGCCCAACATAATGACGCGACTGTTTGTGATTGAGACCATCCCATATAGAATTTTAATATAATGTTATGGTCTATGGGATAATAATAGATAACTTCATCCTTTGGATGGTCACCCAATATGTCATCACAACATTCCAACCTACTCGAGAAGCGCAACTCCGAGCCAATACCATTAGGCCCAACAAGGGTATTTCAATATTTCATAATACCAAGTACTTAAACGTCTTGTAAAACTAGTCATCTTACTTGATTGATATGTACAGCGTATAAGTAAGAAAAGTATAATTATCATAATAATATATAAATTTGAATGTAAATTTATTTTAACGACAAACAAATGAAACATATTGGTCAAAGGACAGCACTGCTTGACCAGTGCAGCTATAAAATGATGGCCTAGTTTGATGTATTTTAAGTGTCTGATACATTTGATTCTTGTAATTTGCATTACATAGATAAATCGTGGGGACTCGACTTGTTATTCTATTACCACTAGTACATGACTCACAGCTTCAAGAATGTTGTCTTAGAAAAATTAAATTAAATTAGTTGTGATAATGATTTTACATCAAATTTAAAATACGAAATATAATTTTTTGGATTACATTACTAGGATGTGCTGCAAGATGTTCTTCACCTAATGATGCAATATTAGGAGGTAAGAATGTTTGTTTTGAGTAAAGATAAGGAAATAATCAAAACTTTTTCAGACAAGTACTTATTTTAAAATGTTAAATATTGTATAAGATTTGTATAGGCAGTTGTTACACCAGACATTCGATGTATTATTTCATTCTCCTTCGAACCAATAGCCTTGCACTGTCTGGTTTCCAGACTATATACAAGCTTATACAATATTAACAAATTAATTAATATTTATTTAAACATAATTAAAATTATTTCAACTATAAGAAAGTACTATTTGTTCTAGTACATGCAATCAAAAAAATACATTTGTGACTATAAAAACTTCCAGATGATGAGAATGGTACAAAGACCTCATACATCCCAAGCTCACTTAGACAGTTTAGGGCTTTTTGACAAAGCTCTGTATAACTTCAAATGCACTCCAGATGATGAGAAGGGTACAAAGACCGCTTACGTCCCAAGCTCATTTTAGACAGTTTGGGACTTTTTGACAAAGCTCTGTATAACTTCAAATGCACTACATTTCATATACATATGTCCCTAACATAAGAATTATTCCATTGTGTTATCGTAATAAGAAGTAATGGGCGACACAACTAAATATAA